TTCAGATTTTTCTGAGCATTTGGTGATAGGGTGGTATTTGGGGGGGGGGGGGGGGGTACGAGGGGTTTTGGTGGGGATAGGAGGGGTATTGGTGGGGATTAGAATCTCTGAAGATTTTTATTGTGTATTCCACTTGCCCAAATGAGCTAAAAATTTGGTGCCATACACCTTATGCAAGGTGAAAACAACACGATTTTTTATTTTTTTTTGTTTTTTTTTTGCGGTAGGTCGGACATACCCTGTCTGCTCCAACGTCCGACCAGACCTCCGGTCGGACATCCCGGACGGTCAGGGTGGTCCCGGACGTCAGATCAGGTAACCTAGCATTTTTGTCAGTGTTAGGGCGTTGTCTTTTTCTTTCCCCTCTTTTTTTGTGCTTGCCTCAAGTCACCCCGCCAATGCCTCATTTCCCTTCTTTCCCGCAGCCATTTGATCCGGTAGGCCCTGCCGTGTCATCTTGCCGGATGGCTGGGATGGGTGCTTGTGGTTTAAGGAGAAGTTTCAGGCGTTCATTGGCAGCTGTGTGGGGGGTGCGTGAGAGCAAAGACTTCTGAAGTGGAATGCGAATTTCCACTTTTAGCTGGGATGGGTGCTGGTTGTTTTCCATTTGGAAACTTGGTGGGTTCAACGTGAGTTGGGCTGTAAGGTTAAAAGAGTCGCCACTATCGCCCAGTGAGTGTACTCTTGTGTGCTGAAAGGTGCCTTTTGGCAATAATGATCTACCTGTTCATCCCACCAATTGCAGAGTGAAGTGAGTGGCGTCTGTCGGAACCATGAGCGAGGCCCGCATTCCGCACCAGGAGCAGCAGTCCCTGAAAAAGTACTCTCGTTCCTCTATGACGATCTGCAATGAAACAGGAGGCACTGCCATGGAGTGAAAACTCTTTGAGAATGTAGCGGCTTTGCCAGAGACGCACGAAGCGAAATCCATCTGTCTAGGCCACACGAATTGGCACCTTAGCTTAAACCCCTCGCTACGTTTGCCAGCCATTTTTCTTTGATACGGCCGCGCGTACATAAGCTGCAAGTTATGCAAGCAAAATGGCTGGCGGAACCAGCCAAAAGAAGTGCTGCGCCACGTCGTTTTGTTTTGCCCTCCAGGTTGTTTTATGGGGGTGGGCAGAGGAACATGGTCGAAAGTATTGGTGGTGTCAAGGACGTGTAGCCCTCCAGGTTTTATGGGGGTGGGCAGAGGAATATGGTCGAAAGTACTGTCACTGTTGTGTAAAGAACCCTAGTCCTTACATGTTCTCTCGAAGGAGTGTGCAGTGTGACTGTGGTCTCCGGGAACCTCATGCACGGTATATGTTGGATTTCCTGACGACACTTTGTCTGGACAGTCCCTTTTCCTGCAAAGCGGAGGTGGTTTGCTCTCTCTATCAAGAAATATCTCCTGATATGGAAAGTGGTTGTGCTGTCGAAATCCGATTATGGCTTTGTCTAGTTGCGAAGGCGTGAGCTGTCACAAATTGATTGTAATTATTGCGAACGAACTCTTTCCGCTTCTTACGCTATAAGAAAAACCTATGTTCCCCTGAAGAATCTTTCATGCTATAAGCCGCAGGTAAAAGAGTTTGGTCCAGTAAGAAGGCGTGAGCTGTCACAAATTGATTGTAATTATTGCGAACGAACTCTTTCCGCTTCTTACGCTATAAGTAAAACCTATGTTCCCCTGAAGAATCTTTCATGCTATAAGCCGCAGGTAAAAGAGTTTGGTCCAGTAAGAAGGATCTTTCATGCTATAAGCCATGCAGGTAGGAGATTCATCATGCTATAAAAGCTGTAGGAGCAGAACGTAGGAAACCTATGTTCCCCTGAATAGCATGAGAGGCCGTGATATGTGCATCTGACCACATAGCTGGTCTGGAAACAGATTTGTTACGTTTGCAGAGGAGGGTGTGCATTGGTCATCCTAAGGTTCGGTGATTGGTGCACCATGAATGACGTCTCTTTTAAATAGTCTGCGGTTTTCCTTTTTTATTTCAGTAAAGTGTGGGTGATCTAAACCTTTACCCACAAGAATTGTGGAGCCTAAACATGCCATGCACTCTGTTGACGAATGCGAGATCTTCGCAAGGCAAGTGGCTAAACATCTGTCTGCAAGTCGGAGCCCTTTGTGATGGTTGGCATTGTTTGAACAATCTGTCCGCAATTATCGACTCGTGTGGAACATGAACCTGGAGGATAACTGAGTAAATTGCTAAGTTCGGTTCTTCAAATGAAATGGGAAACTGTGTAGACGAGCAAAAGTAGATGGTGCGTGGTCTTTTGGATAAAGCGCATGGGAAACTGACTAGTCTTACGGAAAAAGCGTCTTGTCCTCGAAATGGATAAGGTTGATGGAATAAAAAAATGCGAGAAAGCTAATGTGATTGTAGTTCGAAGGAGGTTTGTTAAATAACGGTCAGATCCCACAACCCTGGATTATTAATTTTTAACCCTTGAATAGGAAGATCGACGGTCAGAAATGAATAATAGGGGCTAGTGGGATCTGGCCCTAAGCCTTGGTAATAAAAGAATGCGAGGATGCTTTTGGGTGTTGCTGGTAATCCAGGGCGCAACTTGAACGTTTGAAACACCTCCCATTGTTGTCCGGCCGCATGTACAAATGTGAAGTTTTCGTTTTTTTCGTTGGGGTGAAATTTGCATCTGTACCAAACTCAAAGATGGGAGTATGGGCTGGTGGGAATTATATGCACGACCAGCACGGAGGTCGATACTGCAAAAGGTTGTTAGAATGATCGTAAGGAAATGAAGTCCGTGTGCGTTTGTTGTAAACCACCAGTACTTGGCCCAGGTATCGGCCGCGGAATAAAAAAGGAGTATAAACGTTTCTTGTCGGATGGATTTGCGCACTCCTGTAGTGGCCCGTACGTTTCCTAAAATTGTGGCTTGTTAACGGGCACGACTCGAGGATGTACTGGTTGTTCAAGTGATGTATTGGTTGAGTGATTGAATTATTTGTTCGTCGGTCGATGTTGACAGGTTGGATCGGATTAATCACACCCTTTCACACAAGGGTGAGTGTATGTGCACTTCCCGCTTCTGTTCGAAATGGTCGGAGGATAAATTCGTCGACAGCTTAAAACGGAAAGGGGGACGTGTGTGTGCTTAATGCGTGTCATCCTTGTGCAGGGGCCATGCGAATCTTCTCTGTACCGTTCCAATTTTAATGGATGTCCCGAAGGACAGTGTGTGCATTTTGACCGTTTGGTTTGTTCTGTTTTGGTTGAGTAATTGATTGGTTGTTGGATGATTGGCAGATTATGAATTGATCGCTCTGTTGATGCAGATTGGTGCAGGCAGGGTCAGCACTGTACTACCGTATTTTGGGCCATTGGATGTCCTTGCCTGACTGGGAGCGGAAAGTGTGTTTCAGACATCTGTCAAATCAGATTCTCATACTTGATGATATTCTTGTGACGAATTTGGACTGCTAGTCTGCAAGGGTCGCAGCGGTTATGTGATCGAAGTTTAGCCCTTTTTTCAGGGGCATCGATAACTCTGGGTGATGTGGTGAGTTTTTATCCATCCGTAACACAGGTCTCACAGGGGATGAACAAACCTAGGTCGGTTGCGCAGGGTCTCAATAGGCAGTTGACAACATCTGCAAATGGTGGTACCTCCCAATCAAACATTTTGTTTTGTTGTAATCAGTGACTTATGAAACCTAGGACGTTCGCACAGGATGTAGGTAGGCAGTTGAGATTCCTGGGGTCTCTTGTTGCCAGCACGTGTTGATCTTGTAGAGGCGGATCCTCCCGGCTGCATAACGTATTTGCAAGAAACATATGGCAACCAAGAGGGTCGGTCAAATTTTTAGACGAAGAAGAGTCTTCGACTCCCCGTAAGATTTCTGGAGGTATATTGATTGAGAGCCTGGGCAACGGTTCCACCTGTTGAGCAAGGGTCCTCTTGGCTGCATCAAGCGTTTGCGCAGGAAACACTAGGAGCTCTGTCGAGGAAGGGTGACCGTCCTGTTGGCTGCATCTTCCAGAGGTGGTCCTGCGGGCTACGTCATGTATGATGTGGCATGTGGCGAGAAACACTAGGAGCTCTGTCACTCTGGCCGAGTGAGCGAGCTAAAACCCCAGCCCTTGTGGGCTGCGAAGAGGGTCAGTCAAATTTGCACATGAAGAGAGTTTTCCTCCAAATAAGGTTTGCGGAGGTTTATTCTTCATTGAGGAAATGCAATCTCTCGGGCGGATACAGGGATTTAGTAGGGTTTCTGGCAGATCGTCAATTCTTAATATATTGGTACGAGAAACTTTGAAGAGTTAAGTGGCAACACAACCTTCGGAAAGGGGTTGAATAGTCTTCTTGATAGATCTACAAACGAATGATTTATCGACTTAGCAAGTCTTTTTTGACGAGGGTGTTTTGTGCTGGGTAAAATGATCAACATTTTAGATGATGCTTATCTTCAAGCCAAAAAGTTGTGCAGGTCGTACTGGAAATGGTCTACGAATTAGTAGGAAGGGAAATTTATTGAGTGAAGTCATGGTTTTCAATCTGGTACAGCAGTACCTCTATATAGAAATACCTCTGTACAGAAATCTGCTGTGGCGTCGACTCTTGTGAACCTGTATACAGAAATACCTCTGACGAGTTTTTATAAGAAGATAAAATCTTGGGATGTGCAATTTTTCCTACCCAATGAGCCGTCACCATCATTAATTAGGCGTATCCCAATTGGACGGATGATCCATATCCAAAAACTTGCTCAAAATTGGAAAGGTGGTCCATCCGAGGTTGTTTCTCGTACGTCGTAGCATAGCTCAAAATTGGAAAGGTGGTCCATCCGAGGTTGTTTCTCGTACGTCGTAGCATAGCAGATATGTGTGGTGAAGGTGCGCATCAAACCGGCGTACGAACTGTCATTTGGGGGGCTGATCTATTAAGTGCGGACCCATTATGG